AAAATGTACAAACAAATAAACAAACAAAAAATTAACCATTCAGACTGCAGCTCCAGTCGCCACAACTTTCGGACGTTTTCAACCGCGAATAAGTGCCACAACATCAACAACAACATCAACAACAACAACAACATCAACAACAACAACATCAATAACATCAACAACATCAACAACAACAACGGTCACAGCTATTTCAACTAGTGTAAGTTTCATGATGGCATAGTTGTTGTTTTTGTTGTTGTCATTGTTGTTGTTGTCATTGTTGTTGTTGTTGTCATTGTTGTCAATGTTTTTGTTGTTGTCATTGTTGTCATTGTTGTTGTTTTTGTTGTTGTTGTTATGTTCCTTATTACGGATATCTTAAATATGAATAGATACATATGACAAAATTATTTTCACAAATGATTTTTTCAAAAGTTCCAAAAGATTACAGCAGCAGCAGCAGCAACAACAGCAACAGCAGCAGCAACAACTTCTCGCCTTCAACAACAACAACAACAACGAAATCGAAACAACACACAGCAGCAACAACAACAATTGATGCCATCAACATCGCAGCAACGACAGCCCACACAACAACAACCACATAGCATCTGTCACATCGGGATCCCAAATTTTGCAGTGGGGGCTATAATAGGGGCGGCTGGAGCCAACATTAAGCGGATTATTCGGGACTCTAATGCCCTTGTCACAGTTAGACTTTTTCACTAGTTTATTTATTTAGTTATTTGTTTTTGGTTCGTTCGTCTGTTTGTTCTTTCGTTCGTTCGTTTGTTTGTTTTTATATTTATTTGTTTGTTTGTTTGTTTATTAATTGACGTCATCGAGACTTTTGCCCACTTAATCATGGAGAAGGGCATGGAAACCCGGGTCCTCATTTGCACAACAACAATAAAAACAACCACAACAGTAATAGTACAAATAATAATAATAATATTATTATTATTATTATTAAATAATGATGATAATAATAATAATAAATAATAATAATGATAATAATAATGGGAACATTCTTTTATTTACCGAAAAACAAAATCCAAATGGAATAATAAATAATAATAATAATAATAATAATAACGATAATAATAATAATAATGATAAAGGTGGAGGCCCGCCGAGATGAGCAGACGCCTGCCGACGAAAGAATTGCCACCGTCAAAGGGACCCCAGACTCTTGTTGGCGGGTTTGTGATGATGATGATGGTGATGATGGTGGTGATGATGGTACTCCTGCTGATGCTGATGACATTAGCAATGATTATGATGACAACAACGAAATCGCCCCCACAACAACAACGACAACAACAACAACCACAACAACATCAACAACAACAACCACAACAACAACCACAACAACAACAACACAGGCCAGCTACTACATCTTCGAGAAGATGAAGCAAGAAGGCTTTGGTGGAAGTGATGGTGAAGTGAGATTGCGAACTATCATCACCATACCACGGTCGGCTGCTGGTCGGGTGGTCGGCAAGGGGGGGAAGTGCGTGCGGGAGATCCAACGATTGACTGGGGCCATGATTCGTTTGGCTGTTGATGCTAGCCGCGAACAACAACAACAACAGCAACAAATCTCGCCGCCGCAACAACAAATCTCACCGCAGCAACAACGACTAACTTTGCAACAACAACAACAGCAACAACAACATCCACAATTTTCTAAACAATTTCAGAGCCAATTTCAGCAGTTACCCCTAGAGCCCCAGCAGCTACCACAATGTTTGCCACAGCAGCAAGAAATGATCCTACAGCAGCAGCGACAACACTATCAACAGCAGCAGCAGCAGCAACAACAACAACGACAAAGACTTGAAGAATTAGTACTTGTGGAAATTTTCGGCAACTTTATTTCGACACAGGTCGTATCAATAGTTTTGTTGGGTTATTGTTGTTAATATTGGCTGTGGTTATATGACTCTTTCTCTCTCTTTCTCTCTCTCTCTCTCTCTCTCTCTCTCTCTCTCTTTCTTTCCATAATTTTCTTTTTCTTTCTTACTTCTATTCATTCTATTTTCTCTTTCTCTCTCTCTATCTCTCAAAATAAAACTAAAAATTATTAACCTAAATTACAGAGCGCTCAAAACCGCATAAGGTCTATAGCATCGAAGGTAGCGACAACATCAACAACAACAACAACAACAACAGTGATGAAGGGAAAGGAAGAGGAAGAGGAGGAGGAAGAAGAAGAAGATGACGATGATACATGACGTCATCGTCATCATTATTAGTATCATTAACAAGGATATCATGAGATGAAGAATGATATCATCAGATCATCATCATTATTATCATTTTCGTTGTCGGCAACAACTAGGACGACGACGACGATGATGATGATGATAATAATGATGATGCTGATAATGATCATGATGTTCATAACCTAATCGTCGTCGTCATCATCATCATCGTCATCGTCATCATCATCATCATCATCATCATCATCATCATTCTCGTCATCTACATGTTGTTTATGTTGCTTTTATTTCGTCACTTCAATTATGACATGATGAACGCCCTCTCTCTATTATTATTTTTATTTTTATAACAATAATAACAACATAATATTTATTATTATTATTATTATTATTAATATTGATGTTATAAATAATTTTTCAATTTTAGCTCATCTGTTTAATGCCTACAATAAATTCAGGGATAATTTTAATTGAATAATTAATTAACCAAATGATAATTTTATATTATGATTTATAATGTGATACATATAGATATACACACACACACACATACATACATATATATATATACATACATACATACAAACATACATACACACACACATACATATATACAAATAGGTAATTTGTAATTATTGTTACGACAATAAGACTGTAAGATTAAAAGAGCTTGCTGGCTCCCTTATACCAGGCTCGAATACAAACAGAGATTTCTTTTGCCTGTTTGCCCACACATTCAGTCGGACCTCCTTATAGCGAACTTCTATTTGGAAAAAATCTCTATATAACGAATTTTTTTCCTGGAACCATCAAATTCGTTATATCGAGGTCCGACCGTAATTTGTTAGTTTAATGTGCGGGCCTGCGTGTGTGCGTGCATTTATGTGTGTGTGTGTTTGTTTGTGTGTGCACATGCGTGCGTATGTGTGTTTGTGTGTGTGTGTGTGTGTAAGTGTGTATAGTGTGAGAAAAAAAATGGAATCAATAAAAATAAGAAGATGACGAATAAATAATAATAAAGGTTTCATTGTAATATATATATATATATATATATATATATATATATATATATATATATATATATATATATATATATAAGAGAAGTTATTTAGTGTTTTACCAAAAATTATTATTATTATTATTATTATTACTTCGTGGTCTTTGACATATAGTTCGCTTTCTTATTTCTTTCCGTCATTTATTAAATAGTTATAATAATAAATTGATTAATATTATTTTATTATTATTATTATTTTAAAAGACGAATGTAGTTGTATTTGTTATCTGGTAGTCAATCGATCATTTTGTTATTATTATTAATTATTTATAATAATAAATAATAGTTAATATTATTATAATTATGCGTCCTAGTAATTATACGTTATTACATGGCCTAACACCCCGCGCTGAGCGCAAAATCAGGGAAATTTGCGCGTTAGTTTTGTATATTTTTATGTTTGTATGTCTGTATGTATGTTTTTATGTATGTTTGTTTGTATGTGTGTATGTATGTGTGTGTATGTATAAATGTATGTATACATGTACGTAAGTAGAAACTCAGCAAGAGTCTTCAGAGGAAGAGTTTCCGTCAGCGAGTGTTTTGGCCCTTTAACTTCCTGACACTCTCGAGAAACAGGGCCACATCCAGAAATCAGTTGGATGTCTCCTACTGAACAAACAGTTTGCCTCGCTTTGAAATCACTTCTTTTTATAATGAAAAATAGTGTAGGTGTGCCAGGCAGTTGACATCTAAACACATCACGGTGTGAGTTATATCGACGAGCCAAGTAACATGCTAAGCCGAATCTGGGAGTGTTGAGTAATTGGAAACCTTATGTTCACACAAGCTCGTCTCTTAACTATTTAAACTTGCATTCCTTTTTCAACTTACATAACCATATCCAGTAAGACGCTCGCTCGGCTGTATGTCCTATGTTCTTCATACAACTCGATCGTCTTTTACCCGCCAAACCCAAACCCTTCAAAAAGTTGTACACTGAACAAACCAACAACACCTCTTGCACCGACCTCAACTGCGTACAACAAACACCTCAAACACCAAACACCCTATCTCACTAACAAGCTCTTCATACTTGGTTGTTTTCACAGCGTAACTTGCTGCTATATTAGCCTCATACGGTAGAGTCAGTTCGACTAGAATAACAGTATCTGCTGAAACAGACTGTTCTACCCCGTCGGGTCTCGCTCCTGTATCCTTTATGAACGATGGGTAGTTCCCCATGCCCTCCAAGTCTTCCATGACCTTCCAATCTCCGCCGTTATCAAGAATACTTACTTGTTTGTTTGTATATGTATATGTGTATGTACGTATGTATGTATGAATTAATGTATGTGTGTATGTATATGTATATGTATACATGTTTGTGTTTATGTTTGTATGTATGTGTGTCTGTATGGATTTGTTTTGGTATGTAGGTGTATATATATGTATGTATGTATGTATGTATGTATGTATGTATGTATGTATGTATGTATGTTTGTATGTATGTATGTATGTATGTATGTATGTATGTATGTATGTATGTATGT